CCAATATCTTTATATTTTTCAAAAAAAGTAGCAAAGTTGCATGGTAGGTCTTTTGCTTTTGGTTATTGATTAGCTACTACTAATAAAAAAATTATATGAAACTAAGTGTTAGTATTAGTAAATTTTGATATAAGTACATAGTGCTTTAGAAAATTCTGCTTTTATCTTTCATTCTTTTAAAACTAGTTTTTTGTCTTTAGCAAGAGATGAAAAATATTTAGAAATAAATAAAGGCTTTTTTTAAATGAGAATAGATTTTGCCAAAGAACAGGAATTGATATTTTGTACCAATATTAGCTTACATGTATGTACAAATATAATTAAATAAATTACTACTTACTAATTCTTATAATGATAATAGAAAAAGATCAGATTCCAAAAGTATTCTCAAGCCAATACAGAAGTAATACTAGTGGTTATATAACAGAATAGTATATTAATAAAAAGAGAAAGACTAGCATTAACAAAGTAATAATCAGGGCAGAAAGAGGGGACAGCATTTAAGCTCAGGACAGAAAGAGGGACAGCATTTAATAAAGTAAAGTTCAGGGCACTATAATAATGAAGAGGGACTGATGCAAGATCAGGGCACTTATATGTGTGTATTCCAATGTATTGCTAATAGAAAAAAATTAAACTTTAATAAATTTTATATCAATAGCTTAGAAAAACCACGCGTTTGCTATACTTATAATTTTCAAAAGCGAGTTGATTATAGAAAAGTTTTGACTGATTATAAAACTACTTGCTTGGAACTTCCTAGTATCATAAGGGCTCCTCATGTTATAAAGACAATCCGTGTAAATCTATCATGTGAAACTCATGAAAACGTTCAAAAAATTTAATAAAAATTGGATGATCAATTTCTAGACTATGTATGTGTAACGAATTAAATTCTAGAATGATCTACCACATAGTACACCAACACCCGATCTACACATCAAATCATATGAACAAATAAAGGGGCTGTGTTTACCCTCTTCTGGCGATTCCCTAAACAATTTTTTTTCTTTATCTTATACAGGGTAAAAAAAAAACTGCATGACCAATAGCTAATAAAAATGAAGGGTTTACCTTCCTATTAAGCTGCACGATAATGGGCCCCATGACGAGTTGAAAGTTTTTTTAGCAAACACGAGAGAACTAAAAATATAAATATTTTACCACTATTTAGGCATACCCTGGTAGTGTCATACGATGAAAAATGCAAAGATTAGTATTGAGTGTCGAGTTTTATGTTTTGGATAATAGTGTGAAAGAGTTTTGTAGATGTAATTAATGTCTTTTTAATAAATATTTAAAATTTAAAAAAATTTAATAAAAATTTTTTATATTAAGGTTCTTGAAAACTATCTTGTCCCGTTTATACTTATATTTGTTCGTTAAAGTAAATTTAGAGTTTTATTGTAATAATTATCGTATTCATATTATAAAAAGGTCATAAAATGACTTAACAATTAAAATGTTAAACAACTCCTCGAATTTGAGGAATTTGTCCTTTTTTTTTAGGCCCTAAATTTAAAAATGAATAACTTTTAATCTAATGGACTGTTTTACTGTTTCGGACGATTTTGCTACCAAAATGACCGACCGTCTTGGTGAGACTATTCTAACGAGCTCAAAATTGCTAAATTTCGATCACAGTGTCACAAGATCGTTAAAGGTCTGTGTTCGGTGTTTTTTGGGTGGGGTTTGCCCTCGGAATTTAGCGATTTTGGGCTCGCTAGAATTGTCTCATCAAGACGGCCATTTAGTAAAATCGTCCAAAGCAGTCCATTAGATTAAATGCTATTCATTTTTTAAGATTGAGTTTTTTAATAGTGATTCCTTAAGGAGCAGATTCTTATAATATATTTTATCGAATTAACTTTAGGGTTAGGGTCATCTTAGGTTTGGGTTAGACAGGTTTTAGGTTGTAACATATAAGCAAAATAGTCTTCCCGACATTTTTAATTAACACACCTAGGTAGGTTTAGACTGCCGTTTTTTGTATTTTTCAAGGTTTTCGCTTCTCTTTCTTGTTCGACCCCATTTATGGTATTTCACATGCACATACTTGATATCAATTACTAATTTCTGTTCAAAATATATCAGTTTTTTGGAAATGAATATCAAGCATGGCAAATGATTTTCTATAAGGAAAATTTCTAAATTTATCATATGATGTGTTAACGGCCCCAAATTATCATTATTGATTATCTTAATCCAGTCAAGACATTCTATACAAGCATACAAGTTTCTTTTATGCTGAACGGTCAGAGAGCTTCATTATTCTATACTATTCGTATAAAATTAACATAGAAATTGTTCTAGATACATATAATATATGAATAATTATAAAGACGTTCTGAAATATAGTATTTAGATACTCCAAGTTCGTTCAAGTGGTTTTATTTTACATTTTATGGCATAAAATCTTTTAAAATTTATAGTAAAACCAAATTATAACCAAAAAATAGATGATGATATAAAAACATAAATAATGAAAAAATGAAGAAAAAAGACCAAAAGAAATCCTACAAATACACAGCTAATACACATTTAATTAAAATTACTGTCTTCCTCCTCTATAATCACGCAGTCCGTATATGCAAATTGTGTGATTGTATAAAGGTTTTTATTATGATGTGCTTATAAAAAGGTATTTTTTATTGCAGATTTTGGTGTGATTATAAAAAGGTTTTACTACGATGTGATTATATAGGAGGTGACTATATAGGAGGAAGACAGTATAAAACAAAAACGGAAGAAAGAAAGTTGCTATAAATGTATACAGTCGCTTAAAGGGTTTAATTTGCAATGTTGTGAGAAAATAGTATAAAAAAGTTTTTTACTTTAATCTTTTTATTGGTATTATCTTTTCGCCTGAAACTTTCAGAAGGAAAGTGGTCAATGAGAGAACGGTAACTATTATTCCAGTTACCAAGAATCCTTCTGGGATTGAAGATCTAAAATGTGCGAATATTGAATTAAACATCAAACCGCCTAAAGTACCACCTGTTCCTATTAATCCTGCAATAGTACCATATATTGGGGGGTCTATATATGGTGCTATGCTGTATGTTGTACCACAACCTGCCTATAATTATATTGAATTAACGTTAATAAGAAATTCGATGAAAATTCCACGTGATTATATATAAAAAATTACCTGAGTGAAGAAACTAAAGATGATCATAACAACAATAGCTGAAGTCAAACTATTAATCGAAAATCGGAAAATTATTAAGAAAATGCCCTCAAGTAATAGAACACTAATTTGAGACACTAAACGGCCACGTATTCCAAGTTTTTTGTTTGCATAATCAGATACTATTCCACCGGTAGCTCGAGAGAAAAGATTCATAAGACCGAAAACTGCACCAATAAAATTACCACTTGTATTTTCAAGGCCAAATTGAGTAATAAAAAAGGTACCAATAACATTATCAATGGCCAATTCAACACCAAAAGTACAAGCATATTGCATCATCATGATTAAGACATATGGATTGGAAAATGCTCTTGATAATTCAGTAAATTTTCCTTTTTTTGTAGATTCAAATTGTTCAGAATTGTTAACATAAGCATCTATTTTCTTTTTAGCACTAGCTTCGAGAACTTCTTTAACTTCAACATTTTCTAAACTTTTCTTTTGTTTAAGCCAATCACCAGCTGGACAGTCATCAGCAAGAAATATATTCATTAATCCAGCGATTATGCAAAGTCCAGCTGGAATAATCATAGCGAGACGCCATGAAATATTGGTATCATTAACACTTGAATTTATAGCATTAAACACTAAAGGCATTAATATATATGCAAAACCACCCCCTAAATTTCCCCAACCACCGGCAAAAGCATTAGCAGATCCAACAACATTTTTTTCATACATTTGAGTAGTATAAAATTGACAAGGAACAAAACATGCACCAAGAACACCAATGAAAAAACGAATGGCATAAAGACCATCAGCATTATGAATAAGAGAAGCAAGAGCAACAGGTATAGCACCAGCTAAAAGGAAAGTAGCCATTACACGTCTTGGACCAATAACGTCACAAAGTAAACCAGCAGTAACAAGAAAAATAACATTAGCTGATACAGCAAGTATATCACTAGTTGCTATTTCACTATCTAATTTCAAATCAGATTTTATATAAGGTTTTAAAGGTGCTATGGAATACCATCCAGTAAAAGCAATCATAAAAGAAAACCATGCGACATGAAATGTTCGTCCATGAGGTTTAGAAAAATTTAGTATATGAAGACATTTGGCCTTGGTTGTCCTATCATTTTCATTAACAGTAGGTGGAGGTGAAGTTTTTAGTTTAACATCAATCATTATTAGATCTTTAAAAAAAAGGTGGAAATATATGACTTTTTTTTGAACAGTCAAAAAAATTGAGCAGGATTGAGGGGGTAAGGTTATTCATGCAATACCCGAGGTTCTTTTTAAATTTGTTTTTTGATGCAAATCATGTAATTAGGTGCCAAAAAAGGTGGTCGGCTAAAGCGGAGTGAAGGTTAGAGTTACATTTTTGACGCAGTTATGGTTAGTGAGTTATATAGATATCAAGAATGTAATTTATGCAGCATGTAAATCATGTATTGAATTAACTCCGCTTTAGCCTACCCCCAAAAAAGGGGATATCAATGTTGATACCGGAAAACGACAAGATAGTACAGCAGTACTGCAGTATTAGATAAGATTGAAATTTTTTTTTTTTTGTCTGTCAGTTGCATTAAGTTGCATTATCCAGTTAGTTATTCCTTCTTTAAGTTTAACATTACACAATTTTATTATAAAACTTTCGAATTTGGTTACAATTTCGGGTGATTTTGGAATTAATATTGTAAATTTTGTACATTCATACGTACGTACGTACTGTACATACGAACAAACGATTATCAATTATCTTGTCTCCTTTGACTGATCAGTCAAATTGGATCTTTTCTTTTTTTATTTTAGATTTTTAAAATACCTTTTTTAAACATATTAAATTTTTCAACCAGATTCGCGCAATTCATCACAGATCGGCCAAAATGACTCTTTAATCGTGATCACTTGAATTTTTATTTTTATTTTGTTTTTGTAATGATTCAAGAAATTTTTTAATGATAATAAACTTGTTTTATTTCTGCTCATATTTCAAAAGTTTGCAATTATTCATTTACAGCATTTTTTAATAGAATCATAGAAACTCTAAAATCGAGAAAAAAAAAAAATTATAAAAAAACTTTTTTTTTAAGGTTTAGTCTTTTTTGGTCTTTTTATTCTGTTTTTAGTATCCTCCAGTTATTATAGGACGATAAACCGCAAAAACTTTTTATTTATGCCGTATTACAAAATAGCTTATCTCATGCAGACTGATTAACCAAAAACAGATGGTCTAAAATTGGAAAGCTTTAAATTAGTTATATATATAACTAAAACAGACAATGCAAACATGCAAATAATTGGTGCACTTTAAAAAAAATCCGAATTGCCGGAAATTGTTATCTCGTTATCTTTCAAAAATGATAAGCAAAATAAACAAATTTGATATACTAAATTTGGGTGTCATACGATTGGTTACTACGTAAAAAAGAATCTGAGACTGTTTTTTGACTGTTACACTAAATTTTCGAGAAATCTTGGAATTTTAAATTTCCTTTTAATTTTTATCATTTATTATCATTTATTGTTTTATGATCTTATCGCTTCTACTTAAAATTTTTATCTTATCGCTTCTACTAAAAATTTTTATCATTTATTATCATTTATTGTTTTATTATCTTATCGCTTCTACTTAAAATTTTTATCGTTTTATTATCTTATCGCTTCTACTTAAAATTTTTATCATTTATTATCATTTATTGTTTTATTATCTTATCGCTTCTACTTAAAATCTGAAAATTATCGTACGGGTCTTATGTAACAACCCGTGCTTTTTTCGTTTACTTATTGCACGGGTCTATATGAAAATCATGTGATTTTTAAATTCACATGATTTTCATATAGACCCGTGCGAATACTTTTAAACAGTAATTAACGTATTTTTT